ACTTGGGAATTTACTGTATGTGTACAAACTAAAATATATTCACATTACTTGCCATATTGTTTTCACCTTGATGACCACCTTAAGAAGAAATAGTAGGAATCAAGATAACAAGTTTTTAACAAGATAATAAGTTTTATGCACTCAATGTACACAAAGTATCTACCCAATGGATAAAACTACAGCTTGCCAAATCATGTCTTGAACAGCATCTTATTATTAACTATGAATTTCTGGTAAGCAACCTGATCTTTCTTCTACTGAAAAATACTGAATATTTCTTCTGAAAAATTTGTAACAATAATTGATACAAAAGCATCTTTCCAACTCTACCTGCTCCCATCTGCTAATGTCAATACTTCACATAGTAGTTGTATATTAAAAGTCACAACACTAGACTGAAACCATAAATCATAATTAGGTTTAGTCTTAATTTGTAACTCATTTGACTGTGTGGAAAACTTGCACCAATGTGCACATTCACCATTAAAGTTATGGTTCATGACAGAAGGTGTTCAAAGATATTTTTTCATTGGCAGCAAGCATGAGAGATGATTGAGATAATAAAATATTTTTTTGCCACAGAAATAATTCTCATCAGCCTTTTATTTTTTTAAAAATGTTTAAAGTATTTTTCTAGGCTTTTTCATTTCAGAAATTCTCTGCAACTGAAACATTTACATAAATTACAAGTATCATGCTTTTTACATCAGGAATATTATGTGAATGTCAACTTATGAATGATATGATAACAGTTCTTAATAGGAGACAGCCATAGTAAGTTACAGAAGGTGATCAACTAGCAGAGTTAAACGTACTATGCTACAAAGTTGTGGATAGATAAGATGATCGTTTTGCTAGAATCTTGAAAAGTAGCTTTGCTTGCTCATTTTAGCTGGAAGACAGAGCCTATATACTTTTATTATGTAGGAATTAAAAGCTATCTATCACAACTACAAACATGTAAGGATGTAAGTTACAGCCATGGACAGTTTTGTCTGATGCAGTGTAACTAAAAAATAGATAGCTAGGGAAGGGACAGATAACCAGCAACTAAAGTAGAGAGAGAGACTTTCTTAAGCAGTCAGGAATGAAGTAGCAAGATGGAAAAAGAAAAAACATTCTCATCTTGAAAGTACTATAACAAGTTCCTTGGGATCCTTCAGGATCAAAGATAACACTGAAAGAAACTTTTCACACTGAAGTAGAAGAAGTGAGACTGATGATCTTGCAAAGTGAAATACTTAGAACACCTCTTGTCACTGAAATGTATTCCTGGTGATAATTTAAAACCTGCCCTTGGTCTTCTATATCTGCTTCATTTGACTTTGACACACAACATTGCCAAAAATTAAATCTTGATTACGTCATTTATGTATGGGAGAAGTGAAGACTTCAACTTGAAAGCTTTAATTTCCTTTTATTCTAATATCATCTCCCTAAGAGCAGAACAAAATCAGAAGTTTGAAGGAATGACTCAGTCATTTGCTCCGGATATATTCTTTTAAGTTATCTGAAGTTACAGATCTAAAATTTTATACTGTAAGTTAAAAAAAGCCCCAAGAGTCAACATTAATTCAAACAGAAAAAAAAAAATTCCACATTGGTAAAAGATATTTTACACTAGGTAGTCTATGGCTTTTGTATCTGAAAAGAACACTGCATTTAACTTCATGAAAATGCCAACCACAAACATATACAAAAATATAGTATGATCTTAGAATCTGACCAGCTACTGGAAATGACAAAAAAAACTTGCAAGCCACACTATGTCATCCTAAACTTTTGTCATGTGACTATTCAGCAAATTCATCTAACCTTGTTGAGAAAGCAGTAAAACTTCAAAAAGACCAAACCTATATTGTAGGAGATAAAAATATCTGTTACAATCACTATCAACTTCATGGTTGAATGACTGAAAAAGGGAGGACTCTTAGTGCAGCTTTCCCCTGAGTAAAACTTAGATTGCCTCTGTATCTGAATCTATCTACTATAAATATGGATAAATGCTCTTTGAGCTGCCGTGGATTTTGCTTGAAACTCAAGTGCCATTTAGAGAACAAGGAAGGTGTTCTACAGAGATTTATTAAAAGCTAACAAAAGCAAGTTTGCTTAGCTTTGAGGATGTACCTAATGACAGACAGAGTAGTTCCAATGGAAATTTGTCTTGAGATGTTCTGACCTCCCAAGAGCCTACAGTGAAAAATATAATTACTTCTTTTATCAGGAAATGAAACATTTGAGGACTGATTGAAATACACGGGTTCAAACATTCATCATTTACTACTTTGTTAGAAACAGAGATTTTCAGAAAATATGTAAGATAAAGCGTAAACAGTCAAGCAAATTGAAAATTAAATGTTGTATTTTGTCTACATGACCTGCATGTATATATGAACATTAGGTCTTCCAAAATGTAATTATGAAGAGGTGAAGACTTCTCCTAACAGATCAGTCAAACAGGAGTATTAGTAATACCCTCTCCTATACTTTCTCTCCCACACCACCATGCATTAGTAATCTGCTGCTTACATGCAATAGATGTGCTCCCGTCAGTGCAGAAGTTTGACTTTTTTTTTTTCCTGGGACACACACACAACTTTCTGCTATTCAGCAAATTCAGTAAGAGAGATGTAAGGGTTTATGTACATTTAGGACAAAAAAATACAAGAAAATGGTAAAACAAAATAAACTGGAATATGTAGCTGACAAAGAAATACAGTGCTACTAGCTCTATGGCTAGACCACCACTCCAAACAATATGCATAATCAAAGAAAACTAAATAAGTTTTCTTTTTTCCCCGAAACTTCCTCTCCTTTGTTTCATTTCATGTATACATGTTTTGGAGACCTGAAATGGGTTCCTGAACCAGCACACGAGAATACTGAAAAGATACACACTTGCAGATTAAAGAAGAGAAAAAACCACCCTGGAATATCAACTGGATGCTGAAGTACAGTTCATCTTTATTCTCACTACTGTGTGGATCAAGAGGTCCAGTGTAAATTTAATTCATGCTGCATTATTATAAAGCCAGGATCCAGAAGGAAAAACACAGTAAGTGGAGACATTCGGACATATTGACAATCTTGAAGAATATGAATGAACCATATTTCTTGACAAATTCAGATGATGTTTGAGAAGTTGAGAGTACTGAAAAGGGCTGAACAAAAGGTAATGAGTAGTTTGTTTGATTTTTTTTTTTAAAGTAAAATGAACCAAGAGCTAAGTAGCAAAGAAGCTTATACCTTGTGCAAAATCCAACCTCTAGATAACAGGAACAGATGAGATCACCCTTCAAGTTTATTCTGCAGTTGGGCTTTCCTAGATCTTTCCTTATAGCAGCTTGTACCACCCACTTTCAAAAGACATCACAGAAAAGCTAGCCTAGCTAGATGTTGCACGGCAATTCCTGTTATAAAAGTGGTGTGGTCTCACACATTTTGAGCAAAACCTGATTTTGCAATAATACATGAAAACCAGGGCTTAACATGAAATACCAAAGCATGATCCAATTACGATAAGAGCTCATCTCAACTAATTTCCCAAAGAAGAGTCTCAGATTTTTAATCTGTTTCAAAATTCTTGTGGTTTCCTTCTGTAATCTCTGAATCTTTGAAGATAGTCTACAGGAGCACATTCTGCTTCACAGCAGACAAATTTTACACCTTCCCATTGCGATAACCTTCCTGAAAATATAGAGGCTTCATCTAGAGCTATTTCCTAGCAGTGCTGTCTTCTTTTTATGCCTGTTACTGGTTGTCTTTGGTTTTCTTCAGACACTTTTGTTTTGTCAACAAGGCATAAAACTCAGTGCAGTTTCTCTGTTTCATATTGCTCTTCTGCTCTGGGTGTTCTAATCTAATAAGCTCTGAGTTTTTATTTTTAAGCCATCAGACAAGTGACAATTTTTTTAGCAAAAAAATGAAGGAGCCGCTTGCAGATAGAATTCACTGAACATCTTCTTAAGAAAAGTAGACTATATAATGAATTTCAAGTATGCTGTCCATCAGAGTAATTTTGATTCTATTACAGTGGAGGTGAATACAACATAATACAATCCCATAGGCTAAACCAAAACATTTCTATGTGTGGTTGCCAATAAATCTTGTTTGCTGACAGGAAAGAATGAGACAGCAGGAAAGAAGAACTAGCAGATGCTGGCAATCACTTTAGCAAGCAGAATAATCTTCAAGGATCATGAATTAGATGAGGAAGAATGTTATTGTTTGCCATCTGCTACAGGTCTATTACTATGTCAGCATCTGGTGCCACAGAAAGATCTTTGTGATGTGAACGCACAAAGCGAATTCAGACAGAGTTTTCTTCTGCTGAAAGGAATCCTGCCAAATGTAAACATTGCAGGCCTTGCCACTGGTCAATTCACTTAGCTTTTGATATATGCTATTTGAAGTTTGATAAAAAGAGAACACAGTAGAGTTCACCTCAATGATTAAATAGTATACTGTAATCAGTAAGAACTGAATAATAATCCCACAAGGTTGGCATTAAAACTTTCTATTCAATTTAGGCTGTTTTTTGTTTCCAAATGTCAGGCAGCAAATATCTAAGTTTGAGCAAAACCAGTTGGTTTGAAAGTGTCTTAAACCAAACAATAATAAAGTGGGGCACAGAACTGCCCCAGCCCAGGCTAGAAATTTGCACACACGTTTTGGCGACAGAATTCTATTTGCTTAATGTTGTTACTCAGTGGCAGGATTATCTATGTTCCTGGGGATATTAAAGACATTCAAGGTGTTAACAATTTCATATTCACGATTGGTATTGCAAGAGATAAAAACTTCAGTAACCATACGTTGGTGGACCGACAAATTAAATTGTGCAACAGTAAACATGGAATGAACTGCCTGTCTTGCACTTATCTATTACTTAGAATGATACAATGCTTGCATGCGAACCAACCTTGTTCAGCAGAGGCAATACATTAATCTGATAAATTATATGACTGAGCATGGAGCTTGCAAGGCATAAATGTACTTACTTTTGGTGTTGGGCAGGATGCAGTGGAGAGACGAGAGGTGGCCTGGGCGCGAGGAGATTCTGAAGGAGTAGTACTGAGGGAGGCTGTATCACGTGGGAGCACCTGAACACCACGAGAGATGATGGAATCTGGAATCTTAAAATGGAGAGAGATGGAATTAATAGTAAAAAATATACTGTATTTAAAACTTACTGAAAACCTTACATCAAAAATGTAGGAATACCCCACTCCCCAGTTTGCACACCTCATACACAGTGCTGGCAGTGGTTAATGGCACATTCTCATAATTTCAGTAACAAATACCTAGCAAATATATAAGATCATATTCTAACTGAAGTTGCACAGAACATACTATTTGTCCTGATAAAACTACAAATTGTACATACTAAACAGGAAATAATAAGAAAGGAATGTTTTTTCTTGAGCCTCAGTTTCAAACCCAACAATGACTAACAGTGATTTCTACCGTGGTACAAAGGGAGGCAGACTTCCCATTCTCTAACTAGGGGACAATATTCTGAACAGAAAACCATTTATTAGCAATGACTGAATCCCTCTGAAGAAACGTAATGCAGTGAGAAAATTTTTCATAAGAAATGTCATGCAGTGAGAAAATACTCTTCATTCGTGTACTGAAGGCTTTATTTCAGCTACAAAAATTCTTGATGTAAGGTTTGTGTTGCAAAAGCTACAGGCCTCTCTGGAGGGAGTACAGGTACTAGAAACCATCATCCAAAGCCAACACTTGGCTTACAAAGCATTCTGAAGGGAAATTTTTTTTTTTTTTTCCCCCCATAATGTATTAGAAAACCAGCTATTTCTAAGTTGGAATTTTAGGGACAGATCCTTCAGTTGGTATTGTTAAGCTACTTATAAATGGGATTATACCAATTTACAATGGTGAGTAAGTTGTCTTATTTTCAGTAATAGAAGTGAACCTACCATTATTTTTTATCTTCAGTCTTTTCTGTTCAGTTTTATCACCAGTTTCGAAGAAAAGAGGTAGAAGAATGCATTTAAGAATAAAGCTTTTCTTATCTTTAATATACTGAGTCTTAGAAAGTCTGTTCCTTCTTATTACTGCAGTATTGGGGCCCATTTACACAGTTATCACACCAGCTTTATAATTGGCTGGATTTCTAGTTTAACATAATTTTTGTGTAAAATGGCAAGACATACGAATGATAAATACCTCAGATAAGAGTAGTGATCTCTAACATTAGTTCTACAACACAAAATGCAGCAGATACTCTGCTCTAACAAACTTCCTACAAATGCTTATCCTGATTTTCTTGTCACGATTTTAACCTCTTCCTTTTTCAGAGGCAGCACTTCTACCAGATCAGATTGGTCTTCCTGCAATTCACTTTTCTGTCACAACAGACAAGAAAATGTAGAAATTCAGGTCTTTGATGGAATATATATGCACATAGTTTAAGATCTTTCTCCTCATTAAGAATTTCTTAGCTCAGCCTGATGTTCAAGTTCCAAGACAACCACAAAAAGAACCCCCATGTTTGGGGGAAATGGCAGTCGCAGACAAATAAAAAGAAGCAAGAAATGAAGATCCAGTGACAAGCCAAACCACTAACACTGGACATTTCCAGCCAGGATTTTTTTTTTTAACTGGAGATGCATTTTTAGCATTCTTGCCTAGTAAGGCTTTAGGGCAAATAGAAGCCACTGGAAAGTACCTCCTTCCAGGAACAAGCTTGAATCTTAGCTTTTAAAAACTGTTGCATCCTTAGGACCAGTGTCAGGATATTAAGACAGCTTTGTTGCTTGTCTCTGTGCAGTTAAAATGACCAATCTTAAGGCTCAAGTCATTAAATACCACTTTTTATGTCATTTTTTTTCCCCCTCAACTTCCTTGGTCCCCATCTATAACTAATGACTATGTCTAACGTAGCAACCTTAGAGATACTGGGTTAGTATACTTAGGGGATCTTACTTCACTATAAACCTTCCTCCACCCATTAAGAGTTTCTCATGTTTATAACCTGTTTATAAGTTGTGTGGAAACAGATCTTGTTCTCAGTGTGCCACCAATTGCCGGCTTTCTGCTCTGTTGCTGTGTTTCTAGACTGGATGTATTTTTTGACAGTCAATTTCTGTCAGCATTTAAAAAACCCCAACTTTCCTCAGAGGATCTTTCAAGGCTAAGTAACTTATGCTGCAACTTCCACTACAAGTTATGAAGTCAGAGTTTCTCTTCACCACAGATCATTATGCTGGGGTTACCTTCCTCTCCAGAAACAGTGCCTAACTGGCCTCAACTTGGAGTATTCTGATTTGCAAATGGCATCTCAGACATGTACTATAAATAGAGGCAAACAGGGACAATGATATTCTGATCATGCAAACAGTTTGTAGTCAGAAGCACCATTTCCATTCTGTTCTCTTTTCCTCCTGAAATCCCATCTTAAATACATAAAACACAAAAAAAAGGCTGACATCACCAAGTTTTATATTGGCACAGCTCCAATACTACCCACACTTTAATGCTTCCTTTTAATCTCCAGACTAAGGACAATATAGCAAAAAATTATGTTTTGATAAAGGCATAAAATAAAAAAAACACAATAAAAGAAAGTATAGTTTTAAGTCTTCAAATAAGACACCTTTCCTTTACTCTCCTCTGATAAAAAGCTGCACACATCTTGATATGATTGTGTATAGGTCCATTAAGTCTTTTATATACTCCAAGATCCCACAATACAAATAAAATATTGCTTTTGCAAATGATACCATAATCCAGTTCTCCCTCCAGTTACTCTAGAGTAACCAGATATTACATATTGGCTCATCTCCTTTAAGCAAGTAACTTTTTTTTTTTCTATCCACCATATCCATCAATCATAGCTTCTAAAA